GGAAATACATAGAAATAAGTGTATCCATATAACAATTAATAAAATTGTGTCACTTCGCAAAGAAAAAAAATATTCGTCTTCCGAAACCGTAATTTTAATGTTCTCTCATTTAATAAAATACCATTTAGTACATGGTATAAGGACGTACCCGAGCACTACTTAAAAAAAAAATGTATCGGTATGCCTGCGCGGTACGTACTACGTATGTACGTAATACTAAATAGCTGCGCCATACATCATTAAGTAGTTTTTAGTGCTAATTGTTAATAATTATTATATATTTAATAATGCGGAAGGTCCCATCACTACTGGTAAGTTCTATACCTCTAAACGACAGTATATACGTACGTACGTACGTGTATATACAAATTATATAACAGATAATAAGTTTTAGTTTATACACGTGGATACTACGTAGATAATAATGTTAGCACGTACGTACGTACAAGTAATTCCATAACTGATAATAAAATTAATAAAATTAGCATTAGCATTAGTGTAATTTACCCGAAACCTATCATGTAAAATGGGAAATTTTGATGGTTATTCTGGCAAATGCAATAACGATACGATAAGCAAAGCTTCTATATTTAGGTGTAATATCGATAAAGACAAAGCAAAACGCATTTAATTTCGCAACGTAATTTCATGTAATCGCCGAACTCACATACGTTGCAAGAATCAATTTTTCTGTAAAAAGATGTCTACTTTAAATAATGAAAATAGCGGCGAGTCAAGCAATTCAAAACGATCCTCTCTCGTGAGTTACAGTTTGTATTCCTTTTTTCTTCTAGTGTCGTGTTATTGATATGCTCGCAGTTCAATCCTCTTTTAATTGTGCCTGAAAATTTTGTCCATTAGTCTGTACTTAGTGCGCTTGATCCCAAAATGAAGGTAGGCAATAACATATTAATTATTTATAAAATTATATATTAATCTTGTATTTTGTATAGTATCTAATTTCACACTTAGAGAAAAACAGAGAAAAATCACGTCTATCAGATAGCGATCTCAAAATGCTGTTGACAGACGTGAGAAGTATCGGGTCGAGATACGTAGGTAGTTGATTTATCATGTAAATGTTAGGGAACTGTTTAATAATTTGATAAACGTTCATGATTTTCTTCGTATTTTATAATCTTCTATCGTCAAAAGGCAGATTCTGATAGAGTGAATCAAGCTATGCTTTACGAAGCAATAGATAAGGTTTTAACTAATTTAAAAAATTATTATGTAAGTAATGTGCGCTATTTTGTTAGTTCAATAGAGTGCTATTATCTCTTTTTTGTTTATTGACATATTTTTAATTGTCTTTAGCCGTATTCTTCACCTTTTCAAAAAAAGGTAAATCAAAAAGATGCACCGGATTACAATGAAGGTTGTTTACACATGGTTATTCAAGATTGTATATATGATTTTTTATGATTATTGTTATTGAATTAAATTTATTTATGTTCAGTTATAAAGAATCCTATGGATCTTGGAACGATCGCTAAAAAATTAAAAAATCGCGCTTACAACAGTAAAGAAGAATTTGCAAACGACCTTTATTTAATATATACGAATTGTATCACCTATAATACACATCCAGTAAGAATTTTATAGAAATATATTACGATTTAAGTTACTATAGATCATGCGATCAAGTCATCTTTGATAAAACAAACAGGACAATATTTTTCGAAAGTACGCCATAGCCATGAAAGAAAAGATGGATGAGCTTCTTGAAGCTGTTCCGGATGTTAAAATTCAGACTCTTGCAGAATATAAAGCAAGTTTGAAACAAGATTATGGAGAATTATTTAAGGTGGAAAAAAAAATCACCATCATTAGATCAACATACTGAAAGTGTCTCGAGCGCTTCTTTGCAAGTAGAAGGTAGCAATAGTTCTATACTATTTTATTCTGTGACACATTAAAAGTTATTGAAATGTTATTCTATTATGGAAGATGAACCGCCGGGTACTGATGTTGTAGCAGAAGATACTCAAATTGCAGATACAACTGGGCACTCTCAAGCGTCCCAAGAGAATTCATCAGATGATGAAGAAGAAAAAGAAGCGGACCGTGAGGTTCAAGAAATGCTAAAAAACATAAGATTGATTCCTACGTTGCCATTATGGGATCCTGAACTAGATAACCCAAATCGGGATAAATTTTTTGATCCAGACTATGATCCAAGGTATTTTTTATGTTGTATTTAATTTTATTACGAGAAACATATTATAATGTCTTATTTTCTTTATTCAAATAGCGCCAATTTGCCAACTCTTGATCAATATCCCCAACTTCAATTCCCGAAACAGGGTACTAGTGCAATGATTGAGAAAAACATCGAAACTCTTAAACAATCTCGTATTCTTCATGCCAAACTTGTGTCTGCGAGGCATAATATTCCGGTAAACCTCGTATTATGATAATTATTATTATTTTACTATTCGTAAAATTTGCGTTTCACGTTATGTACATTGTTTTTTAGTTGAGTCATCTTGGTATTTCAGAAAAGTCTCTAGAAGATACGCCAATAATTAATTCTACAATTGACCAAAAGGATCTACCGCCCCTTATCTTGAATAAAGAGACCGGTTTTGCCTGTATGCAACGCGTTGTTTCTAGGTTGTGTCAACACGCAGGATTTGAAGGTAAGTTAAAGTTTTTAAATATCTTTATTTTTATGTGATTCTTATCTTATCCACTATTATTATCTACTCAATAGCAACTTCTAGTAGGGCTTTGACCATTTTAACTGAAGTCGCTCAAGATTACTTCTTGAATTTGAGTAAAACTTTACGCGCATATATGGATGATTATAGTAAGAAGATGACTCCCGAGGTAGAATATATAGATTATTTAATCTTGAAATAGGGATAAACTTTTATTGATTATTTTATTATTAAATTTACTATGTCTATTAGGAAATGATCAATCACACATTGTATGAGAATGGTGTTTCATCCGTAAAGAATCTTGAGTCATATATCCATGATGATATTCAGCGTTATGGCACGAAACTACAAGATATTAAGCGCCGATTGGAGGCTGCATTATTGGTAATAATCTTTAAACTCTTCATTGTTATTTGCAAATCCGTTATTTACAAACACTTAGCAGCAACCTGAGGAAATCGTAGATGACATCCCTGATAATGATGATGCATTTATAACGTACGTATTCTTTATATTGACTATCTAGGAACTTAATTTTAAAACCAATGAATGATAGCATTTTTCTTTATTTATTTTTTAATTTAATTTAATTTAATTTTATTCATTTATTTAGGGGTGTGTTTGGCGGAGAATTACAAGATGATTTCTTTGGATTCAAGGAACTAGGTTTAGGTCCTTTACAGGTAAAATTTAAATTAATAAATATATTTTAATAAAATTATATGTAGTAAACAGCATGTTTTATTCTAAAATTGACACAATTAGGTTCCTCCACAGTTAATTCTTGGATCGAAAAGAATAAAACCTTTACCTAAAAAAGCTTCAGAACAAAATGAACGAAAATGTGTGTTTTTTTTTTTATGTAATTTCTTTTGGCACTATACCAAAATTTATAACTTTTTGCATATAATACATAGTACCTCGTCATGTTCCTCCACCACCATGGGCACCGATAACAGATCCGGAAAGTCAGATTGGTTTATTACGAGACTTTTTCCGTAACAAAAAAAATGACTCTATTAACGACCAAATAATTGAGGTAAATTAAAATAATAAATAAAAATAATTATAAGCTTCCATATTTAAAATTAACGTTCTATTTAGGATGAAAATCTTCCCGCTAAACACCGAAATCAAAGGCCTCGTGTACCTCCTACGGGCAAAATCCCTCCACAACCTAGAAGGCAGCTGCAAAAATCCAGCGCACAATCCGCTGCTGCTCTTGCAGAAAAAAAGAAGAAGAAAGAGCGAGATGCGGCGATTGCAAAAGAAAAGGAAAGAAATAGACTTCTTAAATTGGAAGAACGTGAAAGAAAAAAGGCTGAAAAGAATGAACAAAAGCGGCAGAAACAATTAGAAAAAGAAGCTGCAAAAAAGGCAGAGGCGGAAGCTAAAGAGGCTCGAAAAGCAGAAATTGAGCATCAGAAACGGCGTGCTCAAGAGGCCAAGGAAGCAAAGAAATTAGAGCAAGAGGCCCAAAAGAAAGCGGAAGCTGAAGCAAAGAAAGCAGAACCTAAAAAGAAAAAGTCATCCAACTCTAAAACTGGAAAGTTGGCATCGCCACAAGCTGAGATTAGTTCGTCTGCGGCGTCATCGACTGCTTCAAAAAAGCATTATATAGATAGTATTGACTCAGAGACGGTGCCACTTGGACAACTCAAAAAACAGCGTAGAACAGAAGTCACAGGCTCCAAACCAACTAACCGTCCCTCTCCAACGGCGAAAAAGAGAGTTCCACACAGTCAAATATGAGTATATATTAAATTTTTATGGCTCCATTAATCGTGAGTATAATTTATCAGAACCTTGGTTTTGTAATAAGTAGAAGTCTTTCGACATTTTAATCGTTAATATAATGTACAAAAGGATGTTTGTCAATGCTAGTATCATTTATATAAAGCACGCAAGTATTATTAACTTGTACATTTTTAATATGTAATTTCTATTGTAAAAAATATATATACAAATATAATATATAGATGCATATTATGACAAGCCTATTAGTGATATGAATTTATTTACTGATTTATTCATTTTATTTTTTTATCAAAAAAATTTAGAGCAGTTAGTGGGGTTAAAAATAGGTGATACTCAGATCACAGCAATGACATTTGAATTTTTAACTCTCTAGCCCCATCATTAAGAGCAGCATCAAAATATAGTGTTGTACATTGACTGTCTTAGATTTTTGACTTTGTCCCGTCTCGTTCTAGCTTTATTTAACTATTAAAATTAACATAATTGTATACAACATGAGGTTAATATAACTTGTGCTTTTGGTATTTTTTGACTAGAAATTGATACTACAGGTTACCCTCGTTAATATCAACCTATTTGAATTGGTTTTAAATCATGTTGATAGTGATATTAATGAGAAATCATGATATATATAAGGGAATTTTGAAATACAGTATAAAAATTTATTAAGATGTTTTGTGCTTAGATTGTGGTAACCTGTACTTGTACCTGCGCGCGATCGCGCGCGATCAAACTTCAATATAAGCTTTTGTACAATAGATTTTTTTTTTTTTTTTTAAGTATATACAATTACAGTATGCATAGTGAATTTCATCTAGTTTTTTACCTCCCTCCAAAAGCTCTCATATTTGTGTTACGGGTCAAATTCAGGAATTGTTCTTTTTGGTTAGAATGACTATCGTTTTTAGCGAAAAAATGACGAATTTGAAATCGTTTTATAGTAAGGTCTATTGATCTCCTGATCTTTTTGACCTTGATCTTAATCCCAATGTTCCGTTTTATTCTGCTACGAACAACTGTCGTATTTATAAAAAAAAAAAAGAAAGAAAACATGATCATATGATTATTGCCATTAACCCCTCTAGTTCACCCTATAGATGCAGACATTTTGAGGTAACGGAGTTGCGACTTTCACGACCAAAGTTGCAACTTTTTGTAGTATTGACGTAGGTCGTAAAATTAATAAAGTCGTAAGTATTATAATATGTTACGTATAGACCGTAATAATGTTTACACGATGTAAATCAGCTGCGAAATTTCATTACACAGATCGACATATAAATATAAGTATTTTTTTGTTTACATGGTTTTTTTTCTTTTTATTTTACTATACTATGCTACTAACTAATTTCTTTTTAGCATTAGCTGTCGCTGGTATCGTCGTTGGTGTCGTCGTAGGTGTTATAATTGGTGCCATCGTGATAGTATATCATTGGTATGGTTGCCTTTCACATCTTTATTTGCTAGTTTACTTATTATTTTTATTTTGCTGTATATGTCGTTTTGATTATGCATATACTAACGCTCTTTTTTTTTTCAGTAACGTCGTGTGGTTTTTTATGTTGGTGCACCATTATTGGTGTGGTCCCATTTTTGTGATTACGTCGTTTTTGGCTGTGCTTCTTTGGAATTTGATCTTCACTGAGAGTTTTGACCACATCAGAGATTTCGTCTTTCGTCAGGATTTTGTCTTTCATCGGAGTTTCGCCTTTCACCAGGGTTTCGTCTTTTACTGGGGTTCAGTTTGTGCCAGGGCTTTAGTTTTTAACGAAAGGCCAATTTAACTCCAACGGTATATGGGAGATAAAATAAACTTAAAGAAGCGAAGGGAGTTTTTTATAATTATCGGGGTCTATTGAAATAATATGACACTATGAAATGATGGTGTTAATATTAATAGGGGTGATAATGAGGTGATGCAACTACAGATGATGCTGTTAGAGATAGCTCAATAAAGATGGTGAGGTAAAAGCTGTTAGGGATAGCTTAATAAGGATGGTGAGGTAAAAGCGAACGATAGTCAAGTGATATCAGCAATAAATTTAAGGATACGTGAGGGATTAACCAAGTTTAGTAACCTATCATAAATCTCGTTCTCTACTAGAATTCTAGCAAGTCACCAAGGTGAATGGCAATATCTGCTTCCACAAACGTTCTAGAATCCGAGTCTTGATATGTTAATTCAAAGTTACAAGTCAAGCTCAATAAGTATAGTGAGGTAAAAGCAAATGATGCTGTTAGGAATAGCTTAATAAGGATGGTGAGGTAAAAGCGAATGATAGTCAAGTGATATCAGCAATAACTTTAAGGACATGTGAGGGATTAACCAAATTTAGTAACCAATTGTAAGTCTCGTTCTTTACCAGAATTCTCGCAAGTCACTAAGGTGAATGGCAATATCTACTTCCACAAACGTTCTAGAATCCGAGCCTTAATAAGTCAATTCAAAGTCACAAGTCAATTAAGTCTGTCTAATTGAGTCTTGAAAGGGTTTATTAAAGTTATAAGTCGAATTCAATATCAATACACAAGGGAATATTCAGATAAGTATATATTTTATTCAAGCAGAATTGTTTATTTAATGATGGAATGGAATTGAATTTTTTCTTTTATTATAAAATAGAACTGAAAAATTCAGCCTTTTTGGCTTTAAACTTTAAGTCTTTTACGTTTACACTCCAACAACTATGTTTACACTATTTTTGCTACGTTTACACAACTGTGGCTATGCTTACTTAGTCATAGGGATGTTTATTCCCCATTTTCTGAGCTTTTTCCTTGTGATTATGCGTGTAGCCTATTGTAATAGGTTTAAACAGCTACGTTTACATACCCGCTGTCATGCTTTACACGCCTTGAGTAACATTCATATGATTGAACCACTATGCCAATCCATTATTATCGTTTTTGTAGAAATTAATAAATTTACCAAGATTGGATACATTGTTATCAAAATGGGTAGGGAATTACTAATAAACTATGTATATATGAAAAAGTTATCAACTAAAATATAAGTTTAGAACATATTTACATACAACTCTTCCTGATGATTATTTATACTAAACTTATGGCTAATGAAAACAGAAATTTGTTGGAGAAAAGTAGAAAAGATAACTACAAATAATGGTTTT